TACTATAAACATGGGTATGCGTATATTTCCGTAGTATGATATGAAACCCTTTTGAGAAGATACCCGGAAGAGGTATACCTGGGTTAGGATCCTTTTTTGAAAGCAGTTAATCCAACTACTGTGTTACTGGTGGCATTGGTCTAATTAAAAGTGAAATTGACTGTAAGGTAAAAATATATCATATCCAAAGGTTGTGGGTATATGGTCCCCTGAGTATTGCCTTACCCATGATTCTACAAGGCATGGTCTGGAGACCTGCCAGCAATAGAATGGGGGGGCACTGCCCTGATTACAGATTTCTGGGCTCCCGACCACCTACCAATCATGAAGAGCTGGCATCAAGGATATGGATTGTCCTTAGCTCCTGGGAAATCCTAATATGCCCCAAAGTTTGTGAGCCATTGGAAGTAAGATAATGCGTGGGGAATATTTCTTTTGCCAGTGTGCATGGAAATGCATTTAATTGTGTGTCTAGTGTAGGGCAAGTTGAACCCAAAGAGGACAAGGACTGTGTCAAACTTTTAGTTTTGCCCATGACTATGGGTATCTTGTTCTTTTGGAGTTACAAGTTGTTATCTGCTCAAGAGCGGCATTTCTGAGACATTGTTTCTGTGTATCTTCTGGGGAAGAAATTGTCCTTCCATAAAAGTGATTGCAACATGTTGATAAGCAGAAGGAAGACAATAAAGATATTTGGCTGCATTTTTCATTTCTCTGAAGCTACACAGATTTGGATGCTAGAATAGCAATGTAGTGAAGCTTACTGCTCACCAACTTACATTATAGAATATATGTGTTCATGTACATTCATGAACTTATTTCCACCTAAGAGAGTCTACATTTCCCGGTTCCCTAAGAACATGCTGTCTGGAATTCACACTATAACAAGTCAGGAATGATGTTTGCTACCTAAAGGACACTGGCATTAAAGCTACATAGTGAGGAACTAATTAGAACATTGATTGTTTTCTGGTGAACTTGGTGGATCAAATTGCTTATTTTAGGACAATATGAATGTTTTAGTTTTACAACTTATGAAAATAAATGAAATAAGTACTCTACACACACACACACACACACACACACACACTCCAAATAACAAAGGGCCCTTTATTCAAATAATCCTTTATTACTACAAGTACCTGTCTAAAATTTCCCAAATGGTTCTTTCTAAGGATAAAATCAATAAGATAAATGAAGTTGCCAGTATTAAGCAAAGGCACAACACCTTTTTCTTACCAACAGTGGCATCTGGTAGCTATCAAAGATGCTGCTTTTAGCTTGCCTAGTAAACCCAGAGGTGCAGGAGTGACCCCACTGTGACACCATAGTGACCAAAGAATATCACTTTCCTACTTTTGACCATAGAAAGGCTTGAAAGGGTGTAGGCAGACATTTTGTTAGTTTTAGAGGAGATACATTGAATAATTTTGCTGTGGCTGTTGGTCCAGGGTGTCACAGAAAGTTCAGCCATGCTTCTAGGCCATTCTCTTGGGTCCTTTTAGAGCTTCCTGGATTCCCCATAGTGGTAGGCATCCACCTAAACCAGGTGGACATCCTTATGTTCCTAAAACACACTCCCTGTAACGAGGCAACATTAGGCAACGATGCAAAGTGCTTTCAAAATCAGTGCGTTTGTGTGTGTGTGTCCCTTGCTTGGACTGGTTGGGAATAAAAAAAAAAATCAGGATTTAGACATGGCAGAGTTTCACCAGAAATCAGAATCTATGCTAAGTATTCTAAACACTGGGTATTTAATCCAGGGAATTGGTTAAGCACAAGGCAAAAGCACTGAGAAGACACAGGGCATTGAAAGGTCCCAAAAATCAGCAACAGCAAGAAGCCAGTGCACCTGTAGGCATGGGGAGGGTGGGGTAGTCAGAGAAGAAGAGCTGTATCAGAGCCAGGAGCTGGACCACTCAGCACCCATGATGAGTGTGTGTGGATGGAGCTGGAGCCGTGCAGAAAATGGGCCTGATGAGGCAGAGAGATTCTCCGCCCTCTCCTTTCTTCCAACTTCCCATCTCCTGGCAATGTCTGCTTAACCAAGCTCATCTGTAGAGCTCAGCCGTCCCCCTGGAATCAGCAGGAAGGAAGGAGAAGGGAGGGATTTGACTGTTACACTGCTCCATCCAGGATAGGGCAGCAAAGACTCTTGCTGTCAAACATGGAACTCACTGAACCACGGGACTTAGTCCCTCACCTCCACCACCTGCCTTCGGGCATCTTTTCAGGGGAACCTTTCGGTTGCTTGAGGATGATTGATGACAATCAAAACACATATAAGTCCAGAGCAGATCTTCGTGAAAAACTATGCTGCTTGGCCATCTACCTGCTGTGGTTCCAATGGATGATACAGATGCAATTAGCAGCTTTTTGGGAGCTGCGAAGGAGGGGACCACACACTTCAGAAATTCTGATTCTTTATTAAACCATATTGGCTCTTCCTAGAGAAAAGTCTATACCTTTGCAGAGTTCTACTAACTTATCCATTTTTTGTTGATATATACGGGCACTTAAGTAATCATTACTGGAAAAGCTCGATCTATAAAATTGCATTCTTTATGGGAGCACAGCTCATGCTGAGAACTGTAAATAGTCTGTTACTGTTTTCTAGACTGCTTCCCTCCTCCACGTACAGAGTGTAGCCAAGCTGGAGTCCCACTTTCTAAATGGTATGATCTGGCCTTTTTCTTTCCAAATTAAACTTTGATATTTTAAAAGAGTTTTAAGTTTACAAAAATATTGCAAAAGGTGGTACAGAGAGTACCATCTACCTTACACCCACTTCCATCACTAATGAACCAATACTGGTGCATTATTATTAACTAAAGCCCACAGTTTATTCATATTTTTCTTCGGGTTCTCCTAGTGTCCTTTTATGTATTTCTCTTTTGATCCCAGAATCCAGGGTACCGTATTACATTTAATCTTCGGGTCTCCTTAGGCTTCTTGTGGCTGTGACAGTGTTTCAGACTTTCTTGGTTTTTGATGACAGCTCTGAGGAGGACTGGCCAGGTTATTTGCAGGATCTAGAATTAGAATTTGTCTGATTTTTTTCCCCATGATGGCACTGGGGTTATATATGAGTTTGCAAGAGGCAGACTAAGAGATAAACTGCAACTTTCATCAAATCATGTCAAGGCTACACGCTACAACGTGGTTTATCACTGTTAATGTTGCCTCTGCCTCACCTAGATAAGCTAGGGGTGGCTGGATTTCTCTATTGCATATACTCTTTGGAAGGGATCCATTATGGCTTATGCTCCCACTTATTGAGGGAAAAATATCTATGTGAATTATTAGGAATCCCTCCACACTGGAGCTTTGTCTGTTCTCTCCTATTTGTGTATATATTCACTCAATCATTTGTTTATATCCACATGGACACATGAATGTTCATTTTATACTTTTGGTAATAATTCTGTATGACTTAATTTTTGCTCAAATTGCTTCAGCTTTGGCTTGTGGTAGCTCAGTCTGCTTTTTCTTTCGTTTCCCTTTGACATACCACTATTAGTGTGGCTTTTTAGTTTTTTGTTTGTTTGTTTGTTTTTCACTTCATTACTTTTCAGGCACTATGAAATGCCTCAGGATCATCTTGTTTATTTCCTGCTCTAGTCTTAGAATTGACCATTTTCCAGAGAGCCTTGGATTAACTAGTAGGAACAAGATCTGGATACTAGAGGTGTTCAACCTGGCCAGTGTTAATCTATCCATTCATTTCCTAAACATACCTGTTTTTCAGTGCCCACTTTGGGCAATACTCTGGGGCAGGTGAGCAGCGGGGTAGAAGAAGCCTTATTCTCCATGTTCCAAGAACAGTGCTGCTAGCGAGGAATGCCGAGAGCTCCATGGGAATGTGAAAGCAGGAAGAGACTTCCAGCCGGAGATGTGTTTCCTAGAAGTCTTCATTCTTGATTGTAAATTTCTGCTGTTCTCAGGGTCCATATCTTGGTAACTCTGCTTAGACCTGCCCTTCCATAACAAGTCTGCAAGATCAGGATGACCCGAGTTAGAATTCTAGCTCTGTCGCTTTCAGTCCTGTGATCGGGAATGGGTGCCTAATCTGCACTGAGGCTGTTTGTTCATCTGTAATCTGGGGAGGCATTTAATGACCAGGGCGTACGACCCACCTCCAGAGGATCTGGGGAAGATTAAGAAGCATGGAGAACGTCCCCCGGGGTCGGGCACAGTTAGGCACAGCACATGCTGGTGAGCAAAACGGCAGCAACGCAGTGTCAGTCCAGAGGCGCCCTTGTCATCAGCTGACTGCTGCGGCACAGTGCAGGGGAGGCTGTAATTAATAACTGTCAAGGCAGACCAAGGAGATGGCTGTGGAATGGGCTGACTCTTGGGGTCACAACCAGGTCTGTTCTGCAGACGACATTACTCTTGAGAAGTTAACCATAAATGATCAGGCCTTGGGGTCACCTGGCATTTGGTGGCTCAGCACAAACTCCAGCACCAGGAGATGAGGCATCTACTGAAACAAACAAACCGACCAAGCATGATCAGTGCCCATCAAAATGCATTAGCATAGCCTCTCACATCAGCACCTGCTGGACATTCCAGAAGGCATCTTCATGCTAGGGCTCCCCCCACAGCTCGGCTTGCCCAGAGGGTGATGCATAAACGTGTTTAACAGATGGTTTTCTGTTCTGGAAGGAAAAGAAGGTTTCAACTACACTGTTTTAGGGGGGATCGAGACCTTCCTTCAAGGGCAGGCAAAAGGCAGATATCATGAACTCCCTGATACGCTGGGTTAGGTGCTTTTGACACAGCTCAGCGTGGGGGAGCTGCCATCCCAGTTGGTGCTTTTCTTTCTATCAGAAGCACCTACATCAGTGATTTTCAAGGACTTATCCCTGGGCCAGCAGCGGTGTCAGCTGGGAAACTTGTTAAAAACACAAATTCTTGGAGTTTGTCCTAGTTTCAGAATCAGAAACTCTATCCGAGTATCCCCCGCTGCAACTAATCTGTTTTAATAAACATTCCAGGTGATCTGGATCTCAGCTCAAGTTCAAAGGCTTTGATCAAAGGACGCAGAACTTTCTGCAACTTTCCCCTGAGAACCTGAGGACACTGTGAACCTTCAGCACCTAGAAGTTTGAGGTAGACTTTCTCTTATATGTGACGTCAAGTATGTGTGCAGTAAGTATTGGTTGAATGCATGAATTAAAAATGCTGAAAACACCAAACACCGGGCAGTATGTGGAGCAACTGGAATTTTCATTCACAGCTGGCGGAAATGAAAAGTGGGACGCCATTTTGAAAGAAGGTTTCTTTTTTTTTTTTCCCCCCTAGTACCGGGAATGGAACTCATGACCTTGCACTTGCCAGGCAGGCGCTGTGCCGCTGAGCTAAATCCTCAGCCCCTGAAAGACAGTTTCTTATAAAAGCAAACATACTCTTACCATAGACACCAACAATGGTGCTCTGTGGTACTCACCCAAATGAGTTGAAAATGTACGTCCTCACCAAAACCTGCACATGGATGTTTATAGTAGCTTTGTTTATAGTTGCTAAGATCTGGATGTAACCAAGATGTCCTTCAGTAGGCAAGTGGGTAAGCAGATTAGGGAGCATAAAATGGCATCTTATTCACTGACAAAAAAGGGCTATCAAGTCACAGAAGACATGGAGGAACCATGAATGAATATTGTTAAGGGAAAGAAGCTAGTGTAAAAAGTCTGTGTACCATATAACTCCAGCGATGTGCATCCTCGGAAAGGCAAAACGACAGACAGCAGAGGCCAGTGGTTGCCTGGTGTTTAGGAGGATGGAGGGAGGGATGAATAAGGAGAGAGCCTGGAATTTGGGGGTCAGAGGAACTATTCTGTGTGGCACCATCAGGATGACTCCATATATATTTGTCAAAACCCACAAAAGGCACAACATAGAGTGAGCCCGGATGTAAACCGTGGGCTGCGGTTTGTAATAATGTATCCACACTGGCTCCTCGCTGGTAAGAAGTGCAAAGAGCAAGATGTTACTAACAGAGAGAAATTATGGGGGAGGGCATGCGTGCATCCTTGGGAACACTCTGTTCTTTCTGCTCAATTTTCCCGTAACCTACAACTACTTTTTTTTTTTTTTTTAAATAAGACTATTAAAAATGGGAGTAGATAAGGTCAGAATGTCCCTTGATGAATGATCAGCATTTGGGATTTTAGTTAATGTCCTAATGAAAAGCAGGTTAGATAGAGTTCCATCCCCAGCTGGGTGGTCAGATCTGGCTGTCCTGATGTCCCCCCATGGCGTCTTGTTACCATGGTGTCTTTGTATCATTAACGCAGTGGGGTTAGCTCCCCGGACTCACGTGTATGAAGACTGAACCTCTTGTTTCATTAGAAGCATAAGTTCCTTTGTCTCTTCTGTGTAGTAAAGAGGGATGCTTCTGGTTTCCAAGGGTGGAGGTGAAATACATCCTGGATGGAACTGTGCCCACAACTTTGTGAAATTCCAGATCCTGGGGGAGTGCCCTGGGATCCTGGAGGATGCATTTTGAAAGTAAGACTCTTCTGGTGGATGAGAGCCTTGGATACCCCCTTTCTTCTGCCTGGAATGCTGATGTGGTCCTGGAGGTAGAGTCACCATTTTGTAGTCATGCAGTGACCGCGAGCACAAAGACCACAAACTAAGGGCCAGGAAGCAAATAGCTAAAAGAAATATAAGTTCTAGATGGCATTGTGTGGCCGCCATTCCAGTACTGAGTGGCTTACCATTGGGTTTCCCTACATGAGAAAAACGAGGCCCCTAATTTGTTTAAGCTGATATTTTGAGAGTTTCTGTTACCTGTGGTCAAATTCAACATCTCATTGAATCAGGGGCATTTTCAGTGTACTCCAGGGCCTGAGACTTGTCAGACTGGCGATACTCTCTGCTATGTGACCTTCAACTTGCCGCCTCACATGTGCTTCACGTGCGAGATGAATCAACAACAGTACCAACTGCTGGAGTGTTTCACGGTGACAGGTAGGAAAATATGCTGAGCGCTCTGAGCATAGGGCCTGGCATATGCTAGGGCCTGAATAGATGGTAGCGTGGCATTGGCACTGCCTGCCTACTCTACAGGGCAGAGTGAGTGTATAGTCATGGGTGAGAACTTCTAAAAATAGAGGTGGCTCTGGCAGTACCGAATAGTATATGACTTTTGGACTTCATTGTCTGGTAAAAATGCTAAGTCACCTAGCACTAGGTACTCAGGACTAATTTTAGACTCTTTGTCCCTCTCTCTGCCTTATTCCAGGGGTTGATGCTTGTAGATCATTCTACGGAGACCATTCCACCCAGCAGGTAGCACTTTACTGGTGAAGGTTGCCAGGCAGATTTGTCCAGGAAGCAGGCCATGACTTGCATCTCTAAGGCCACCCCCTGCACTAAGCTGATTGTTCCAGAGGCTGAGGCCTGGTTGAAGAGCCCTCGGATAGATGAGCCAGGATCAACCACGGGTCCTGCTGGGAAAGTCTCCTCCTGTATGATGGCCAATTCCAAATGTTCTCATCTTGTCACAGGAATTCTTCTCGCCCTCATTCCTGCCTCATGATCCTCCTTCTGATTTTAGTGAGAACAAGGAAACAACTGGGAAAGAACTGGCTCATTCTCCCACAATGCACCTGTGCCCCTCTGCTCTGCCCTCTTCCTGCTCCCCAGCAGGGACAGGACCTGCTCACCTGGGTGCTGGGACTGGTGTCCTGTTGACACTCTGGAACACCATTTCTGGTTCCCCTGTGTCAAAATGTCCCATTGTAATTAATCTCTCCATCTTAACACAACCAATCCCCACCCCTGCAGCCGCCACCTCCCTCCTGCTGTCCCTTTACAGACCCACTTCCTTGCCTCTGTGTCCCTCCAGCCAGGTATCTGTCCCCATCATTCTGTTGAAGCTGTTCTTGTCAAAGTCACTGCTAATTTCCTTGTCACCAAACACAGTGGCTAATTTTCTGTCTTCACCTTACTCAAACTATCGGAAACACATCACCTCATTGATGACTCTCTTCTCCGAAAACTGTCTTCCTTTAGCCTCTTCAGTGTGGGAAACAGATAATAACAAGTAGCTTTTTAATACAATGTCAGCTTCATTACGTGAGGGACTTTATTCTGGTTATAGTCTCATCTCCAGACATCTAGAATGGTATCTGTGACGTATAAGATATACGGTAGATATGTGTTGAATGGATGAATCTAGACCAGGGGTCGGCAAAGCACAGCCCATAGGCCCAATCTGGCCCACTGCCTGTTTTGTAAATAAAGCTTTATTGGAACACAGCCATCCTCATTAGTTCACGGATTACCTAAGGCTGCTTTCACAGCAGAATGGAATAGTTGTGAAACAGACTGCCCCACAAAGCCAAAAATATTTACTATCTGGTCTTTTACAGAAAGGGTTGTCTAGCCCCTGGCTTTAAGATTAACTTCCACTCGGTACTGGGTATGTGCGTCTCTCCCTGACCCCCACATGATCAATTAAGGTCACAGCACTCTCTCCAGTTCCTGAGCTCCCCGTTCCATGTGCCTGGATACTGTAACAGTTTGAAAGCTCACTTTGAACATAGTGTTCAATCTGGTTTGCGTTCAGCATGCTTCCATTTGGGAATATCTTGAAGATTTAACTTCAAGTCCTTGAACACACAAGGAACAAATTGTGCGTGTGGTGCACAGTTAATGGTTTTACTGAATACTCCATATGGTAATAATAATAGTGGTTACCTTCCAACAATTGCTTGGAAGGGTGCCAGGCACCACACTAAGTTTCTTGTGTCTCTAAGCATTTTGCTTTATCTTTTAATCCTTTCCACAACCATGTGATGGATGAAGCAGTATTATTATAGTTGTCCCTTGGTATGTGCTGGAGGTTGGTTCCAAGATACAGCTCCCCACTCCCCTCAAAGCTAAGGATACTCGAGTCCCTTATAAGAAATGGTGTAGTTTTTGCACATAATCTATACGCATCCTTCCTATACTTTAGATCATCTCTAGATGACTTGCAGTACCCAGCACAATGCAAATGCTATGTAAATAGTTATTGTACGGTATTGTTTAGGAAGTGATGACAAGAAAATCTGTACATCTTCAGTACAGATGCAATTTGCTTCCAAATATTTTTGATCCATGATTGGTTGAATCCCATGGATATAGAGGGCCTAGCATAGTTCCATTTTATGGATGAAGAAACTCAGGTTAGAGAAGCTGCTGAGCTGTTACAAAAGTAGCCTACCCAAGAGGAACTAGAAAATGACTCCTCAGATTCGTGTTGTCTAACACTGAGATGTTCTCAGGACCACACACCAAGTCTCCTAGTTGGTGGTGAAACTTACACTTCTGGGTCCTTGGGTCCATAATCATCAGGAGCTGCAGCTCAGCACAACCCTCTGAATTAGTCTCCAGTTGACAAGCAGGGTAATTCAGCGTTCAGTTCCATCTGCTTCTTGCCTTACCTCAGATTGATTTTACCTTATTAATTTGTTTTTGTTAGTGACAACTGAGGCAGAGGGATACCTTTCTGAAAAAGCCACTCAGAGCCTAAAACATTTTCCTTTTATTACATGTCAAAATTTGCTTCTAGGAAAAGACACTTCTGCCCAGAAACAGGAAAGGATTGTCAAGGTGCTATTTTCCATTCTGTAATTTGTTTTAATGGCTGTCTTCTCTCTGCATCAAGTGCCTGCTAAGACAACTTTATGGCTTTTATTTTTAAGTAAAAATTCTCGTCATTTTTGTGAAAACCAAAAGAAGCGCTATCACAGAAAATGCTTTTCTTTTCTCTCTGGTTTGTGTTGCAAGCAATATGTTTCTGCCGTGATTAAAGTAGCTTTTTTTCTAAAGGAGTCCAGCTGTTTGAATCAACTGAATTGGAAGAAAGGGGAAAAGTGGAGGGGTTGCTTCTTCCTTCTAAAAAGCTAAGGGGAGCAGGATTGGGGCTCCAGGATCTCAGAGTGAAGCATTCTGGGGTTCAGAATAGGCGGGTTAATCAGTTATTCCCAGTTACTCGAATGACAGGGCTTATCTATTTTCCCCTACATGTTTATATTTATTGGGGAATTTTCCAACTCCCTGAGAAAACAATTTTTTCCGGGAAAGATAAGCATGTTCATCCCTTACAGCACCTATTCAACTGCAAAGCAGTATGGAGGGGAGGACATCCGTCCTTTAGTTACAAAGCGTCTCATTTCAAAGCCCCCAGGCTTACTTCTGTTGTCTGCATCTACTCATCCTACAAACCGTTCTTCATCAAAACAGTTAACTCTCCCCTGCTCTCCCTCCACCCTCTCCTGAGAATGGGAGGGTGGAAGAAAGCCATCAGTGCCAAACCCATGCCTCCAGCACGGCCATTTGGCCTGCTCAGAGGTGCTTATGCAGGAAGAAACACAAGAAAACAAAAGGGAAGAGTATGTGAACTTCTAACCCCCTGCCCCACATGCCATTCGGTTGGTGGGTGGCATGAACCAGCATTCAGTTCCCTGCAGTGGGTGTTTTTATGGGGCCAAGTGACAGAGAGCCAAGCAGGGCAAGAACTCGTGAGCAGCAAGTGGAAAACTACCAAGAACTGTCCAGCTACTCCGGCCACAAGCTTCATCTCGTTCAAACGTGGGTAGCCGGGTTCACTTCTCCAAGTCCTGCAGCACGAGGCTGCGGCTATGACTCCAGCCCTTCACAACACAGGAGCCTTTGTTCTACAGCTGCTTCTTGCGCCATCCCCTCCTTGGCTCCTTTCCTCTACGTGGAGTGACACTTTGTCACTTGGGGAGCAGGCGATGGATACAGATATTAATTATTGCTAACTGACTCCTGCCTGCAGTTCTGCCTGCAGCTTTTACGAACCCCACATTGTAAAATTAACACGTTGAAAAGGCAACATTGGTTCAAAAGCACCAGAGAGGAAAGTAATTCAGTTGAGCTCCTCTCTGTGGTTGTCTGAACGGTCTGCTAAATGTGTACTTGGAGGAGGGCATTAAATATACTGAAAAATAGTGTGAGAAAGCACGCACGCTGTGCCGTGGCTACATCAAGAAATTCCAGAAGGCTTTGCCTTTGGATTTACACGTTGGCTTCAGCATTTGGTAAAAGCTTTCTGGGGCGATGAGACTATGGGAAGCCAGGGAGGGGCAGTGAAAACTGAATGCACATTGGCTGAGGATAGCAATGGACTGGGGTTAGTGGTTTAGTTTTGTAGAACATGGTTCAGGCAGGCAGTGGGGTATTCTGGAAAGCATACGGCATCCGGAGAGGTGAGAGCTGGAACTGAAAGGTTTTCCTCTGAAACTTAACCTTCCTGAGTGTCTGTTAAAAGGAGACAGTAAAACTTGCCTTGCTCAAATGGGTGAGAAAGTGCTGCATAAAACACATCACCACGCATGCTATAAAGTTCTTTATATGACTTATAAATAAGTTGTCAACTTATTTATTTGTTCAACAAACATATAAGAAACAACTACAAGGAGCTGTATAACAAATAACAGACTCAGCCCCTGTGCTCTATAACTTTATAACTGATACTGAGAAATAAACAAGAACATAGTGTAAAGCATGTTAAGTGCTATGATGTGTAAATACAGACCGTGTGGGAGTTTGTAAATACAGCACTTAACCTAGCCTTGGACAAGTTCCAAAAGCCTGTAGACTGGTGTGATGTCCCAGTCAAGCTTAAGTATTGTCTTGTCATGCCCACCTTATCTAAAAACATAACCCCGTCCTTCAACATGTCCTACTCCTCACGATATTTCCCTTTCTGCATACCCTGCATTCCTCTCTGCATACTCTGTGCATTTGCTTGCTTATATTTTGTGTCTGTGCTCCTCAACCAAAATAGAAGCTTACAGAGTTAGATGTGGTTTATTTCCTACTGTATCCTCCATGGCTAAAATAGTTCATGGCACAGAGAAGATATGCAGCAGATATTTGTTACATAAATGAATATGAAATGTAAGTTTGAGGTGGGCATCCAAGTGGGTAGGGAAGAATGTCCCAGCAGAGCAGAACCATAACGAAAGACCAAGACTCAAAGTGCAAGTGGCTAGGTTTTGGTTAGGATGTGAACATGTGTGGGTGGAATATGGGATATGAGACTGGGAAGGTAGGTAGGGCAGATCGTGAAGGGACTTGCAAGCCATGCTAAAGAGTTTAGACTTTCTTCTGAGGGTAAAAAGGACATTTAGAGTATTTAATATGGAAGTGATGATATGATCTGAGTTTCTGCACAGCCGGATGTGGGAAAACCATGAGGAAGCTCTTTCAGTGGTTTGGGAGCAAAATGCTGGTGACCTGAACTAGGACCACAGAAATTTAGAAGAGATATTGGAATGGACAGGCCTTGACAGTTGATTGACAAGGGGGGATAAAAGAGAGGGAAGTCTCAGTGGTCAAGGGTGGAGCTAAATTCAAGGGGCAAATGGGTGACAGTGCTGTGTGTGGAGATGAGAATGGAGCAAGAGAGGCAAATATGGCGTGGAGACAGTGTGGACCTATTAACTGAACATATTTTGTGAGCATTTGTATGTGTGGACCAGTCCGTAAGTGGTCACTGAAGACATAGGGTTGTGTATTGATTTTGTACTACTCTGATGAAATACTTGAAGCAGCTAACTTTATAAAGAAAAGAGTTTATTAGCTCAGTTTTAGAGGTTCAGTGGCATGGCATTGAGCTATCTCAGTTCTAATGAGGACTTCACCATGAGAGCTGAGGAGGGCTGGGTTCCCTCCTTTTATAACAACTCTTTCACAAGAACTCAGAGGGCAGAGAGAGAGAGAGAGAGAGAGACAGAGAGAGAGAGAGAGAGAGAGAGAGAGAGAGAGAGGCTTTTGAGAGCACACCCCCAATGACCTAAAGACCTTCCACTACTTCCTTTCATCTCTGAAAGTTTCCACTACCTCCTAATAGCACCACATTGGGACCAAGTCTTCAATCACAATGGACCCTTGGGGAGACACCCAACATACCCAAACCATAGCAGGGTGGCTGAGGTTAAAGATAAGTGGGAAAAGGAAGAGCCTAGGGAAAGCTCTGAGAGACATTAATAGTGAATGGTAATGGGGAGAAGACCAACAAGCGAAGGTGAAAAAAGAAGGTTTCAGAAGTGTGTGGGGGTGACCAGTAATAAATGGTATGTCAGGGAGAAGAGGGCTGCTAGGTCAACTTCAGTGTGCAAGTGTTGTGGGTTTGAGTTGTGTCTCCCCAAAAGGTATGTCAGAATACTAACCTCTGGTACCCATGAGTGTGACCTTATTTGGAAATAGGGTCTTTATAGATGTGAACAAGGGAAGATGATGTCATACTAGATTACAGTGGGCTCTAATCCAATGATTCATGTTCTTATGAGAAGAGGAAATTTTAGACACGGAGGCCCACACAGGGAATAAGGCCTTGTGGAGACAGAGGCAGAGGTTGGAGTGCCAACTGTAAGCCAAGGAATGCCAAGGATGGTTGGCAACTAGTGGATCCTAGGACGGGGCATGAAAGATTTTCCCTGGAGCCTTCTTAGGGAGCCACTACTGCCCACACCTTGATTTCCAACTTCCGGCCTCCAGAACTTTGGGTGGCTTAAAACGCCAGACATTTATTTTCTCATGGTCATTTATGCTGGCAGCCCTAGGAAACTAATAGAGAAAATGAAGTGTCCACAGATTTGGCAACAAGGAAGTCACAGAAGTCGTGAGAACGCAGCTTCAGTTCAGCACTGAGGAGAGTGAGACGGGAGAGGATGGCAGGGCAAAGGACGGGAGAAATCGGGATGAAACAAACATCCCTTTCCAAAAACCTGAGGGAAGAGAAAAGGGAAAAGAAAAAGTTCCATAATGACGCATGGAATGGATACAAATGATTGATGGATTGATTAAGTAATTTTAATAAGCTAATTAACACATCCATCATTTCACATAGTTACAATTTTCTGCTTGTGCATAGTGAGAACACTTGAGATCAACCCTCTTAGCACATTCAGAGCATACACTACAGTTTGCTTAACCATAGCCACCAGTTGGTATATTAGTTCTCCAGAACTTACGTATTCTGTGTAACTGAGACTTTGGACCTTTGAACCAGCATCTTCGTATCAGCCTCTCCCTCCCAGATGTTGGCAACCACCGTTCTATTCTCTGCTTTTATGAGTTCAACTTTTTCAGATTTTTCGTGGAAGTGAGATCAGGTAGTATTTGTTTTTCCTGTGTCTGGCTTACTTGACTTTGCATAAGTGAAGTCCGGGTTTATCCCTCTTGTTAAAAGTATCCATTACCCTCTTTCTCAAGACTAATATTCTATTATATGTCTGTCTATTCCATGCGTACACACACACACACATGTACATAACACTTTTCTCCATCAGTGGGTGCTTGAGTCAACTCAGGCTGCTCCCACATCTTGGCTATTGTGAATCCTGCTTCAATAAACAGGGGGTGCAGATATTTCTTTAAAATGCTGATTTCATTTCTTTTGGATATATACCCAGAAGTAGGCTTGCTGGATCATATGGTAGCTCTATTTTTAATATTTTTATGAATCTCTATAATGTTCTTAACAAAGACTGCATCAATGTCTAACCCCACCACCAGTATGCAAAGGTTCCCTTCCTCCATGTCATGGAGAACGCTGAGTGTCTTTTGCCTTTTTGATAATAGCCTCCCTCACAGGTGTGAGAGCATCACCCACAGTGGGTTTGATTGCATTTCCTTAATGCAATGTTTGTGTTTGCTCTGAAGTTTTGATCACTGTGAAGTGCTGGTGGGAA